CCCTGCCTGGAAGTGTTCAAGGCCAGGTTGGACAGGGCTTTGAGCAACCTGGTCTAGTGGAAGGTGTCCCTGCCCATGGCAGCAGATTTGGAACTAGATGATCTTTAAGGTCACTTCCAACCCAAACCATTCTATGATTCTATGGATATAATCATCTGTAATATGATCATCAACTTGAGTATTTTCAAGAGGATCTGCATTTTTTGGATTTCTGTAGATTTGTCACTTCCCTCAGAAATCCACAAATGTTGAAATAAATAAATCGTATTTGAAGTAATTTTCAAGTCCAGTATTAGCAGAAGAGAAGCTTATCTGTGATGGCACATGTGTTTAATCCTCTAATAAACTGTTAACTCTTTCTCGCAAAACCGGAACAGGACTTCTGGTTAGAGGTCCTGCTTTTGACCATATATCACTGAGGATGCAAACTTCTAGCGCTGTATTTTGTCTTCTGGATTCTAATGGATTACAGGGGATCTTTAAATCCCCCTATTCAAAACTTTTCCTGGGACTAGATCATATTAGCAGAGATTTGGTGGTATCACGGAACCTGCTACCAGAAGAGGGAAGCTTGGGCAAACAGGGAATAAGTACTAACAGAGGTCTCAGTAGTGAAAGAAACAACAGTGGTGATGATTTGTTACCTTAGCAAAGAATCTTTGATAGCTACCATAGCTATGATTCATCTGTCCACACACATTTGTCCTTTACTAACTGAAAAAGAGAGGAGCTGTTAATAAGGTTCACTGAATTTTGGGAATCATATGTGTATAGTTCTAAGTTTTGAAGTCTCACAGAAAATGTGTCTGATGCAGATACATATTTTATTGCAGGTGTCAAAAACTGTGATCCCAAAGGCCCTCTGATGATGTATATTTCTAAAATGGTCCCCACATCTGAGAAGGGGCATTTCTATGCCTTTGGGCGAGTCTTCTCTGGTATTGTTTCTACTGGACAGAAAGTTTGAATCATGGGACCAAACTTCACACCTGGCAAGAAAGAAGATCTTTACCTAAAACCCATTCAAAGGTAGATGGAAATAGTATATTTCTTTTGAATAGCAATGCTTGCTTTTAGTTTTAGGAATCCTAACGAAATAAGGATTATATTTCTTTATAAGAGTCTTCTTTTCCTGTTTAATAAAATCAGTAATCCAGAGGGATTGTAGGCAAATAATAGGCAATTTTCCTTTGAGTGAAAAAGCTTAGCTTTTTGGAAATACTGGGAGTAAAACAAGTATTCAAGGATTGTTGCTCATCCTCTGTCTTTGTAGAACCATTTTGATGATGGGTCATTACATTGAGCCCATTGAGGATGTACCTTGTGGCAACGCTGTTGGTCTAGTTGGTGTTGACCATTTTTTGGCGAAGACGGGTACCATTACCACCTTTGAACATGCCCACAACATGAGAGTGATGAAATTTAGTGTTAGTCCAGTTGTATGTGTTGCTGTTGAAGCAAAAAACCCTTCTGATCTACCAAAACTAGTTGAAGGTCTAAAGCGTCTGGCCAAGTCTGATCCTATGGTTCAGGTAAGTGTTAGCTGTAAGTTTTAGCTTTAGAGCTACTGGTTTGCAGTGCAATAGCCAAAGCATTCGACTTTATTCACAGAGAGCTCTTTATGTGATCTAACGGCATGGCTGCAGGCTCCAAACAGTTTTCAGTTGTGATTGTATGAGCTAACACAAGATAAATAGGGTTAAGTTCAGTCAGCATTTGAATAGGAAGATCCTGAGGAAAAACACAAACTCTGCAGCAATTAGCATTGGGGTTTTGAGCAGTACTTTTCCTTACACTTTTTTTAATGCTGAAATACCTCGGTAGGACAGGAACTATGTTTAATGTGAGAGTACCCAGTTTTGTCAGTGAGGAGATTCATTCTGGAGCACTCCTGGAAACAATACAGAGATGATAATTTGCTAAATTTTTGAATACTTGGGGTTAAGCAGTTTTGGGATCTGACATTTTTCTGATTTAGTCTGTGTGTGTTTCTGTTAATACTAATACTTAAAATGTTTACTCCCTACTATTTCCTTTTCTAGTGTATTATTGAAGAGTCTGGTGAACACATCATTGCTGGAGCAGGGGAGCTGGATCTAGAAATTTGCCTTAAAGATCTGGAGGAAGATCATGCTTGTATTCCAGTTACGGTATTCAAGAATTTTGTGGACTGCAGTGTACGGAATATGACTAAATATTAACCTTTGAAAATATCATTTTAATCTGCTGTTATTGGTTTCCTTAGAGCAACTTCCTTAAAGCAATTTGAAACTTTTTAGGAGACCAACCGATTAAGTAATAAAAGGAATTCTTTATTAGTTCATTGAAAGAGCTTAGAATTAAAACAGAGATGTGAAGAAAATCCAGTGAACAGGAAAACTAACTTGCACGATGATGGTAACCATAGATGTGCTACTGAAAATGTTGTTTCTCTTGATGAAAGAGAAATGGGTGGAGCATGCCTGGGTGACTGAATGAACCTGGCATTAACACACTGCCTTAGGAGGAGAAGCTGCAGTTTATTGAATGGCATTTGATTGGTATGTGGAAACGATAAGCTTTGTACTTGGGGAATTTTTGTCTTTCATCTACTTGACAGAAATCAGACCCAGTTGTATCTTACCGTGAGACAGTTGGTGAAGAGTCAAGCCAGGTGTGCTTATCCAAATCTCCCAACAAACACAGCAGGTTGTATACGAAGGCTCGGCCCTTTCCGGATGGCCTGGCAGAGGATGTAGACAAAGGGGAAGTCAGTTCCTGTCAAGAACTGAAACAGTGTGCGCGTTACCTGGCCAAGAAATACAAGTGGGATGTGTCTGAGGCTCGTAAGATTTGGTGCTTTGGACCTGATGGTACCGGTCCAAATATCTTAGTTGACATCATGAAAGGTGTCCAGTTTCTAAATGAAATCAAAGACAGTGTTGTTGCGGGTTTCCAGTGGGCTACGAAAGAGGTAAGTGTAGTTCTGAATGTTGTATCTTGCGTACTGAAATGTATCTGAGCTCTATTCACGTGAAATCTTCAGAAACTGTCAATAACTGGTAAGAACAGGGTAGCGGGCTAGTTGGAATTTGTCCCCACTGAAGAACATATATCACTCAACCTGTGTAACGAACGCATTGTTGTCTGTGGGTGTTTTAATGTTTGTTCCAAGTGTGAGTTCTCAAATGCTAGAGGAGCACTTGAGTCCTTCCTAGAAGGACTTTGCTGTGTGTATAGTGTACACTGCCTTGGTCCGAATAGAACTGTTCAGCATCAGCATGAGTGACTTAAATCAGGCCAGAATCCTGCGAAGTGAAGGTTCATATCTTAGAAACTCCTGAGTAGTATCACACCTTTGTTTTTCCCTTTTTAATACTGCAGGGTGTCTTGTGTGAGGAGAACGTGAGAGGTGTTCTTTTTGATATCCATGATGTCACTCTGCACGCTGATGCTATTTACCGCGGTGGTGGGCAAATCATTCCTATTGCAAGGAGGGTTCTGTATGACTCTACTCTTACGGCACAACCCAGGCTTATGGAGCCCGTCTATCTGGTAGAAATACAGGTATGCAACAGGGTATTATATTTGAGATCATGGAATCATTTAGGTTGGAAAAGACCCTTAAGATCGAGTCCAACCGTTAACCTGACACTGCCAACAACAGAGATCCAACAGATCTATAATCGTGTTTCCACATTCTCTTCCAAGAAACCATGATAGCTCTGTTCTGTCCTTTAGATCAGTGATGCAAAGGCTTTGTTTGAGGACAGGTTTTTCATTCCAAAGTTAGAAAAAGGTTAAAGGGAAACGGCAAAATGTAGGTGGGGAGGTGAATCATGCTGTTCTTCATGAATTGCCAGTATTTTGGGGGACGTTACAGTTTGGGTTTTTTCTTTTTCCCCTCCTTTCTTTCTGTCACTGTAAACATTCGGGAGAACAAACAATGGGTATCCTAAATAACCAGAAAGAGCAGCGAGGATTTTTTTTTTTTTAATAAGCTTTTTTTGAGCTGTTTAAACATTAAATTCTGTCCTTTGAATAACTGGATTTTCTTGGTAAATTAAATTCTTCCATGGAAGAGCCTGGAAAATATATTCCATGCTAAAAGTATTTATTTATCTCAAGTACAGCTATTCACATACCAATTTGTCTTAACTGTCTCAAAAGCAATTGGAAGATTTAAAACCTGCTTTAAAAATTAATTCCAGACTACGGTACTGGGTGGTGGGCTGGAAATCTACCAGCTCAGTTGCTTAAAAAATAGCCATAAGGGCTGAAGAAGATGAGTGCAAGTAAGGACAAAACAGCAAAATGGAGAATTTTTTCACCTCGGTGACTTGCAAGACCTATCGTGACAAAGCAGGGGAGTTTTGCAGCCTGTTTCTAAGCAGGTATGTTTCTAAGCAAATGTGGGGGGTTTTTTAAGTACAGGTTTTATCAGAGTGCTTGTCAGCCATGTTATAAGTTCTAAGATAAGGTACGGTGAGATCCTGTTTGTATGAAATTTGCATCCTGTAGTAAATGCATTTATTACAAAGCACTAGAGGACTCTGCTTTCTTGTGCCCAGAGATTGCTGTAGGTAATTCACTGAGCATATGCACTTTTACCTCACTTTGTGTACGTAAACTACAACGTGGTACAGTCAGCATATACAGTAATTGGAAACTTGACAGTCACGTGAGGCAGAGAAGGCAGGCAAAGCTTCTGGAAGATGTCTTGGAAATGAGGGTGAAGCCACTTGTTACACGAGAAATTTTTCTGAGTGAGTGAGGAGTCATCATGAGAAAAATGTCAAGAGAACTGTGTAGGGGGATTGTCTAATGCTGCCTGGCTGTGTTTTAATAACTGGTGATCTCCTCCTTTTATGTAACTTGATAGAATTTATCTTTTTTTTTACAGTGCCCAGAACAAGTGGTTGGTGGGATCTATGGTGTACTGAACAGGAAAAGGGGACACGTTTTTGGAGAATCCCAAGTGGCAGGAACTCCAGTGTTTGTGGTCAAGGCGTATCTACCTGTAAATGAGTCATTTGGTAAGATGATGCTTCTTTTGTTACCCGCATGCAATTAAAGACAGACCTCTGCAGGATCAGAGACACTTAAGAATTCTCATTTTATTAGCTCCAAGCTTCTTCATCTTGTCCCTTTGCATCTTCAGTTCAGAACAAATAGTTTACTCCTTTTTTCCAAGTGCTAAGAAGATGTGGCAGCTTCTGCACATTAAGACACTTCAGCGTATACCAGATTTGGTTCCCATCATTTTAAATCAAGGCCTTCGTCTGAAGCAAGCCTGGAAGAAACAGAATTGGTCTTCAGCGGCAGCAGGCTAGAAAATTTGGTACCAATTTGAATCTTTAAAAGAAGGACAGAGTGCCAGCCTGAGTAGCTTAAATGGCATTACACCCTCTTGGCAATCTTAAGACTACCTTTAAAATAATAATCTGATCCTTCTTATGCTGCCCCTGAAACTTCAGCTTTTCAGTGTGGTACAGAGCCCTTCCTCGGGTATCGTGGTTTCTTTGTGTCCCTCATCTCCTTCCTCCCCATTTAAAAATGCACTTCAAGAGTATCCTGTGACATCCTGACAGAAAGTTTACCAGTCTCATGGGGCACGTTTGGAACTCCTCACATGGTACAACTGTAAGAAATGTCATGTTTTATTTCGGAGGGAGGCTTCTTTGCCAAAGTACATTAGTGTGGTAACTGCTAAAATAATCAGTGATGAAATAAGAGATGCTTAACTTTTCAAGTCTAAACTGGCAATTTAACTTCTTAAAAGAACAATCTACATGTGTTTGTGTGGCTGGGTTTTTCCCTTCTCCAAGTTTCCATAGAGCTTAAAACAATTTCATAAAGAGACCCATTTTCCAAACATGTCAAAAGAAAAAGAAGTGTAAGCTTAGACTTGGTAGGATGTGTATTACGCTGGGCTCTGTCTCAACTTACATGGCACGTTAACATCCATACTCTGCAAAACTGCCTCTCTGGTTCCTTGCCAAAGCTGCCGTTGAATCTTGCTAAAACAGCGATCTAAAGATGTGGGGAAATACCAGTATTCCTATAAATTAGTGGTTAGAAGCGGTTCTACTGTAGCAAAGTCTCAGTTCACAGGCGGTGGCTCTTCATGGGACTGAATACTTGGGAGAAGGGGATGACACTGCTGTGAAGATGAGGAAATGGCAAAGGAAACACCTATATATCTTCAGTTAAATGTAAAGTTCTTGTACTGTTAGACTAAATGTCGAGTTAGCCCAGCACCTTGTTCATGACTGTGACTGAAAGCGAGCGCTTAGGGAAGAGAAAGAACAAGGTAAGCCGGTGTAAAACTTCCCCAGTTGCTTTTCTAAAAACCACTTTTAGGGGCTTCCTGGGACAGAAGGGGTTTCTAGATCAATTCAGTAACCCTCGACGGATTTCTTTATGATGAAGTTACTCAGTCTCCCCCTCAGTGTAAAACGTCGGCATCCACAGCACCGGCAAGGACTTCCACCGATCTAGACGTGTGAAGACCTACCTCCTTTTGTGTCTCTTGAACCCGGCTCCCGCTAGCTTCAACGGACACTTCCTTTGTATCAAAATGAGCATGAGCTCATTCTCGTCTTTATCCACTGTGTCCATGTCACTTAATTTTTAGCCCTCTATATCCTTCCTACTACATTGCTGCTCTTTCCATGCTGAAGAGTCCTAACTTGCTACACGGGTTTCTTTGCGTGGAAGCCAGTTCAGAGGTTTGGTCATCGGCATTCTCCTTCTCTGAGCCTTTTCTGCAGTAACTTTTATAATAAAGGCACCGCAACTGCACAACTTTATAATAAAGGTGCAGGCTTTCACTGGACATAACGTTTTGTTTTCTGTTCCTTTCCTAACAGGTAGTAGCACCTGATTTCTCATTTTGACTGCTGCTAAACACTGAACTAACACTTCTGTACTACTTACCATAATCCTAAGATCTCAAACTGAGTGGTAGTGATGGGTTTAGGTCCCGAGACATACAAAACATCATTTTCCTCATATACTTTTCTATCTATCTAAACAGAATTTTGTTTGCCTTTTTATTGCCAATTTACTTGGTCACACGAGATCTTTCTGCAGTTCTTTGGAGTTGGCCTCATTTCTACCCGCTTGAAAGAATTACCCGCAAAGTAGCGGTTTCCTAACAGTACCGTACCCCCATTCTGGAAGAGTGTTTTTAGTGTTTTGTCTATGCAGAAATTCACAATAAACCAGTTTTATTTTTTTTCCTGTAGCTGGCTCATTCCTTTTTTAATTTTTTTTTTTTTTTCCTTCCCACTAGGTTTTACCGCTGACTTGAGAGCCAACACTGGTGGCCAGGCTTTTCCGCAGTGTGTCTTTGATCACTGGCAGATTTTGCCTGAAGATCCATATGATGCAAATTCTCGTCCTTGGTAAGTTGTGGCTGAAACACGTAAACGCAAAGGCTTGAAGGGAGGGTATTCCACCTCTGGATAACTTCCTAGATAAGTTATAAACACTGCTGTTTCATGTTGTGTGATGCACTGCCCAGTTATGTCCCGATACTGTTCCCTCATAAAACCAGTAAGGAAAGGGGAAGTTTTTAGAGTGTCGCATTGAAAATATATATATATATATAGACACACCGGCATTCTCCTTCTCTGAGCCTTTTCTGCAGTAACTTTTATAATAAAGGCACCGCAACTGCACAACTTTATAATAAAGGTGCAGGCTTTCACTGGACATAACGTTTTGTTTTCTGTTCCTTTCCTAACAGGTAGTAGCACCTGATTTCTCATTTTGACTGCTGCTAAACACTGAACTAACACTTCTGTACTACTTACCATAATCCTAAGATCTCAAACTGAGTGGTAGTGATGGGTTTAGGTCCCGAGACATACAAAACATCATTTTCCTCATATACTTTTCTATCTATCTAAACAGAATTTTGTTTGCCTTTTTATTGCCAATTTACTTGGTCACACGAGATCTTTCTGCAGTTCTTTGGAGTTGGCCTCATTTCTACCCGCTTGAAAGAATTACCCGCAAAGTAGCGGTTTCCTAACAGTACCGTACCCCCATTCTGGAAGAGTGTTTTTAGTGTTTTGTCTATGCAGAAATTCACAATAAACCAGTTTTATTTTTTTTCCTGTAGCTGGCTCATTCCTTTTTTAATTTTTTTTTTTTTTTTTCTCCCGCGAGGTTTTACCGCTGACTTGAGAGCCAACACTGGTGGCCAGGCTTTTCCGCAGTGTGTCTTTGATCACTGGCAGATTTTGCCTGAAGATCCATATGATGCAAATTCTCGTCCTTGGTAAGTTGTGGCTGAAACACGTAAACGCAAAGGCTTGAAGGGAGGGTATTCCACCTCTGGATAACTTCCTAGATAAGTTATAAACACTGCTGTTTCATGTTGTGTGATGCACTGCCCAGTTATGTCCCGATACTGTTCCCTCATAAAACCAGTAAGGAAAGGGGAAGTTTTTAGAGTGTCGCATTGAAAATATATATATATATAGACACACACACACACACACTGTTAACATGTTGTGATGATGGCATGATCACCTACTAAAAGAAAAAAAAAAAAAGAAAGAAAAATGATGTGCTAGTTTGACTTACAGGATTGTTGTTGCCTGTATCTTGTCTGGGGTCACTGATGCCTGTGTCAAAAATACACATTTAAAATAAAAAATCAGTTGCCTAGGACTTTAATGGCGTTCTTTACAGTTTGCCTAATCTGCAATTGTCTTTCAACCTAGGAAGCAGCTCCCTTCGTTGTCGCTCTTGCAGAAATTCTTGTTGAACCATCAGGCTTTGTCCTCTCAGCCAGAAGATGCATTCTTTCATTTCCAAACTTGAGTCCTCGGCGCTCTTGAAGACTGAGAGTGAAAGGCTTGCGGTTACAGGTAAGCTTTCTAGCATCCAGCACCTAGATTTAAAGGCAGATATAGAAAATCCCCACTAATGTTGGAAATGCCTGAGTTCTTGCTGCTGGACAGGTGCAGAACCTCCTGGGGCTGGTGCTGTATTGTTGGGCAGCAAAGTCCTGCCTACATGGCTCACGATTGTTTCAGGCAGCTTTATCTGACCTGGAAGTTTGACAGCCAGAAGCCAGCTCTGGCTAATAGTCTTCCGGTGTATAGGTATAGCCTTTCTGTAACTAGTATTTTAGCAGCTAGCTCGCTCCCAGAAAATGGAGACAAAGATGTAGCAAATGGATGGGTGGGGAAAAAAAGGGCTGGTTCTTGCAGCGTGGCTTTCATTGGACGCTGATTATCTGCGCAGTAGAGGAACTTTGTATTAGTCTCTCATGAGCTTTACTTTCCTTCCACAGTTGGTTTGAAGGTATCTGATATAGTCCGCTCAGAGCAGTAACCAGCTACTTCCATAGCGGAAACAAAGAGGTAAGAAGTCATCTAACCTTTTCTTCAAGATTTTTCTCTTGTTGGAAGTTCTTGGATAGACATTCTGATGCATTTTAGAACTTGTTGAAGGAAAAATAACCCAAAACCTCATCTAGCTACAAGGGACGGGTTTGCTTAGAGCAGGGCTAGAGTGGTCTGGGCCTCAATTAAGTTGCAACCCCGAGTCCCCTCTCCACCCACCACCGCTTAAGTGAATTCTTTTGTTGTCTCACGGAAGAAGGCGTATCAAATGGGTGACATGACTGCACTGCAGTACTCCACCCCCTTGATACGCATCATCCACGAAGTCAATTAAAGGATTTAGGCATTACACAAGCCTAGTAATTACCTACTGTGTGTACACCAGCATTGCAGGAAAACTACATTCTTCACCGGAACACTTGCCTCCCACCACAGCCTGCGACAATCTAGCTCTCTCCTTAAACGGGTAAGGTGCAAATGCCTGAAGTTTGCATTTGACACTGCTGTCCTGGGTCTAGAAGGTTTAAAGCCAAATGCAGCTGCAAAACTCCTGCCCAAAACAGCTGGAGAACACAGCTGTACCTCAGCCCTGATAAGTAACTGCTAACAGGGCACAATAATGAACAAAATTCCAGCTGTATTTTATAATACCATGAATGGCCCTGATAATTATTGTGCCCTGTTAGCAGTTTCTTAACAAAATTCCAGCTGTATTTTATAATACCATGAATGGTTTAGAGCACATGCCCCAAAAATGGCACTCACCCTTACTTAACTTTTCTGACATATATGCGAGATGTTTCTAGCCCTTCTGCCAGTTCAGCAATTGCCCGAATCGCACTTCAGTTTGGCATTAAGAGTACAAACAGCACCTTCAGCAACAGATACCAGTTTTAAACACTTTATTTGGAATGACTCTGGAACCTCTCTCCACACTCTATTTATAGTTCAAGTCACTGTGCAACTGTGATGCAGAAAGCACTGATCTGCCGCAGGCCATTAGGAAAAAAAAAAACTTCATGAGTAGCATGGCTTTATTGGAAATAAATCATGCTAAAAACTGATCCTTAACAGGTACAAAAAATTTGACAGATAAGGAAAGGAGAAGAAAGATTGGATGCAGTATTAAGACCAACATGTGAATTGAAGACTGCTGTGAAAGATGATACAAAAAAGGCAGTGAGGAAGAGTAATGCAGCATTAAAGGTGGGAGTACAGGGCAGACAAGAGTTACAATACATCCTGCTTCAACATTTCTTATCCGTGTACTTCGTTCAAATAGTGTAACAGTACTGGAAGGCAAAAAGCACCAGACATCTGACTAAAGAAATAAGAAAAAAGAACACAAAACTAGGAAAAAGTGAAAGCTGGTCATCAGGGAAGGAATAATCTCAAATACAGCTACTCAACAGAAACACAACACTTGGGAAAGCTGCTATGTCAACATATATAGACAATACCCATTATTCCAGCTCTATGGACATGACTTGATTTTCCTGGTCTGTGACCTCTTCCACATACAGTACTGCTGAGGTTATCCTTAGAGGTGTGTGGGGAGACACTGCATACACACAGCAAAGCAGCAGATTCATCACAGGAGTAAAACAGGAGGGAGTTATTCCCATGGAATTAGAAAAGCCGTGATTAGGAGGCCATGTAACGTGGGACGAAGCATCATCAAGCCCTAAACACATAATTCCAGTTAGGTGGGAACACTGTGCAGCTTTTAGCTTCCAAAAAGCCAAGCCTCCCCTGTGGCAAGTCAGACTGCGGTATTCCCAAGCAGAATACACTGGTTACTGAAGTAAGAGAAGCCAGGAGCAAGAGGTCCTAGAAAATAATCCTGCACTGGGGACAGTAATTCCTATTTTGTCTCCTAACAGCTGCCATCAAAAGCATGCACTTCACTTGGTCATCTGGTGAGGGGTAGCAGTTCCAAAGAGGGCCACCAAGGACTTTATAACCTAAATTTGAGTTTAAAGGCTTTTTTTCCCCCATCACCTCTTAAAGTTATCAAACCAGAAATTCAACTATACCTCCACTGGGCATAGTTCGGAGGTTTTGGTGGCAGGGAGGTGCCCTAATTCTGACATGACAGCACAGAGATTGTGTGATGCAGGGTTTGCATAGATAGTTTGTCCCCTCTCCAGCCTGAAGAACAGTGAGAGGAAGAAGTCACAGCTTTGGATTTTGTTGCGTTTGTGAAAAACATGAAATGGGGGCAGGCAGGGGGGGAATTCCCATTTACAGAGGCTTCCCCTACATCCCCAAGTCATGGCTATTTCACAAAGCTCTGTTATCTTAAGTGAAGTTTATTACAGGCCCCAGTGAAAAATATTAAAAGTTCACCAATGCAAACACTTCTGCACCTTTGTCCAGGTTGTTGTTCTTCTAGAGTGGTTAAGTGCCTTTTTTATTAAAAAAAGTTTTTGTTTGTTTTTACATTATTGCTGCGTTTTACAACAGAATTAAAAACCATTTGTGGAATCCACCCAGCAACAAAAAGTCAGTTTCCCCAGAACAAGCCGAAAGCATAAAAGCATGTTCTGAAGGGGCCTTTTCTATACCAGCTATTTAATGAGCAAGGAAAACAAAACAAAATATTCTATCACTTCTGTTCCTAGCGTAGATGAATTGACTCGATTTTCCAGAAGGCAAATCCTCCCAATAAATATCAGAATGACTTCCAAGATGCTGAAGTTCCAGAGACACAAGCAGCAGCTCTGCGCAGTTTCTCCTGGAGTCCCATGCTCGCCCCTTGGTTCAGTCCAGTGAGATGATGTCGGGAGCGCTGCCTCCGCTGCTGGTTATCACTCCTGTCTCGCTCCTGCTGGAGGAGCTAACGTGCGTGCTGCTCTCGTGGTGACTGGTTGATGTGATGATGCTGCCAGGCGTGCTGCTTGTTAAGGTTGAGGTGAGACTATCCAAAAACATAGGAGGACAGTACTGCTTGAAACAAACAATGAAGAATGAAGAGACTAACTGCACGAGGGAAATGTATGCTCTGAAGATACATCTTCCCTACAACAAGCACAAAACACATTACTAGCAGAACCTCATTAACACATGCATAGCAAGAACCGGAGTTCCGCAGACCAGCGCAGAAGCAAGCAGAGATGGTAGCCACGAGCCCTTCTCTCTCATCCTCCCCATTTTTTTTTTTTTCTTACTAACTGGTTAGCTTGAGCATTTACTAGCGCATTAAGAAACAGTCATGACTGCATGATGATCACAAAAAAACCCCCCTCAGCATTTGGAGGGGGGTATTTCAGGCTCCTTTCGTCACAAAAGGTATAGCAGAATGCTTTTTGCTCCTTCGATGGGGGTTAGAATAATTCCATCCCCTCAGATGGCAGCAGCTGTACTAATCAACATTTTCATAGTACATACCTGCAATGATACATGCAGGGCTCTAAACATTTTAGCAGTGATAAATGAGCCCTGATCAAGTCTGATTAAGAAAAATTACTAAAGTTGTTTTAAATTTCCTGAAATGGAAGACAGGCGTTCTCAAAGCAGAGCTAAACCTTTTAAGCATTTAGAAACAGAACAAGGCTGCCAGGTGTCAGAGGAGAGGGTAATAAAAGACATCCCCTGTGCACGTGCACACACACACGTATGTTGTTCAACACATCTTACTTTCTCTTATGCCATGGATTCCAATCTTGGGCATATGTTTGGAACTGAGCCTGAACTGTTTGAACTGTCCAAAGCGGGCACTTCATAGCAGCACACCTGCTTCCAGTCTCCCACATGAACAAAAGTCTGTTATTCCCACTTTTGGCAGTTCAGATCTGAAGGTCAGGCACAGAGTATTGCAAGATGCAGTAAGTGGAAAGAAGAGGAGGAGGTTCATCCTTCGGTTTTAAGGCACCAGAAAGTCAACTCTACGGTAGCGTCCTATCGCTGTTGTCTTCTAGTGACAGAGAGGTGAAACAGAGGGTCTGCTTCAGATCCTCTCGTCTTAGTTAGGGAGCCAATATTCCCCCCACATTTCAAGGCTGTAGTCTGTCTGTGTAAGAATCTAGTTACAGTAAGAGTCACTCTCCCTAACTGTGTAAAGTTTAAGTTTCCAGGGAAGGAAAGGCACCGCCTAGTTACTTTCGACCTACAAAATTTCCATGTAATCCAAAGCCAATGGGGTTTAGGTGTTACACGGAGGGATTTATTGTAAAAGTGTTCAGACACGTGCCCATCAAATCAATGAAGATATTTCCTTTAAAACTTAATCTTCTGCTAATATCAAAGCCAACAGCAACAGCAATCAGTGAGGTATATTTACAGAGCTTAATCTGGCCTATGGATACACAGTATGAACTAAGAGCGTCAAGTACGTGATGGGTGTATTCAAGTTAGTGCTGTGCAAGTACCCGCTTTAGAAAGGCAAACTACCACTTAAGAGCGAGTTTCCATGCCTGGATTTATCATAGTGAGGCTAAACGGAATCCTCCCTCAATGCGCCTTCATCACCACCTCTGGTTGGGAAAATGGATTTTCCTGGTCTGTGGTTAGGTCTAAGCAAGTGGACTGCAAACATGGTATGGATGATGACAGCACCCTGACAGTTACTCGAGCGGGATGTCACAAAAACCAGACTTGGAAATTAACCCCGTAGCAGTTCAGAAACATACCTGTGAATCAACTGGGATTAGTGAAAGAAAATCCAGACCTAGAAAGAAGAGAAGGATAATAAATTGATGAGTCTCTCTTTTATTCATACACCACAAATTTAAGGAACTTTTTTTTTGTGGTCGTAGAACAGATTTTGCAATTGTTACACAGTTTCTAAATGGAATAATACCACTGTGACACCACTCCCAACGACTACTTCAGGCAGCAGCAAAACGAGTTATCTAGTAGAAGTGGCTCTTTTTAAGAATGAGAATGACATAATGATGTATTATTCACTGGATATTGCAGGGTGGTTCAATGTGGTTGCTTAGATGGAGGTTGCCATTTGGAGCTGTTGGTTCATAATGCAAGTTTCACTGCGTATTGTACCTGACTCGGCCAAACTGGGACATGAAGAGTGTCATCACATTAAAGATGCTGGAATGAAGTAAAGTCACAACATGCACAAGTCCAAAAACAAGCAGCAGGTCTCTTCCTCCACCCACGGGCAGCCAATAAGGAAACATTTCTAATATCATCCCCGTTTTGTGTCTAGACAAATAAAAGGAATGAAGAAGAGGAAACTACAAGTAGTTCAACGTATATCCTCTAAGAGCAGTGACAACTAGCGTCCATCTTATACACCATTAGCGTGTAAGCATTTAGGGCAAGATGTTCAAAATTATGAAACCAATGAGAAATTACAGCCTTTTTTGTTTTGTTTCTAAATATTGGCCTTGTGTTTGCTATGTCAACAGAAAGAAATGGTAAACTTACTCCCTCCCTCTTCCCTCACCTCCAAATCTGCTCTGGCCAGTGGCATCTCTCCTCCTCTTCTCCGTTAGAGAAAAATTTTGAAGGAGATTTATGCTCAGCTGCTTTTACAGAATTGACAGCTTCTTTCGTTCTTGTACGTTCTAGAACTTCAGTTGATAGAGATGGACAGGAGTGCTAGACTTCCATTCTCTCAGCTTATTCTCCAATTTGGGAAGACAACCAATTTCTTAACAAGGGAGAAATGGAGGGAGGGAGCAGTTAAGGGAACCAAAATGGACAGAGAAACAAGGGGAATGATATCCATCCCATTGCCAAACTGGTGCTGAAAGAAGAGGAAAAAACCCAGAGATGTTGCAGGGGAGAAATGGAGACAGGCAAATGGAGCGGCGGGAAGAGGGAAGTACAGGAGGCCAGTGTGACACCTGTCACCACAAGTCACCATTTCCTGGGCTCTGGGTTCATTACAGCCGGCAAAAAGAACCCCCCGAGTCCCTATAATACAGTGTTCTTTTCAAGGAGCCAGGGTAGAAAACAATCAGTATCCCCACCTTTTGTCTGATATTTAGCAGCAGTGTTGAAGAATACATCATAGGCATTTAGGGTATGTCTAGGTAAAGAAAGTCAATAGAGGTCAGCTTACAAATTGTAGCTCACCTTAACCTTTTTCATACAGTCTAGACAGAGCACCACTAGAATCAGCTAGCAGAATATCTCTACATCTAGGGTTGGGATGAGTCAGTGCCATCACACATCTGTAACTTAAATAAGCAGCTACTCTCCCTCGCATCTACAACACGTAACAGCTGGACGTTTACACAAAGTCTAACTGAATATAGCGAGAAGTGTTTCTGGCTGCCGTTCCAAAGTGCCCATTTGTACCCCAGAAGCAACGTTTTTCGCATCACTGTTGCGAAGTGCAATCTGAAACTGGAAAGACAGCCTGTACTGGACTTGTCTAGACATCACATCACTGCAATACTGCACATAGTCTTGTTTCGTTAAAAAAAAAAGTTGAACAATTCTCCAATTTTTACCCACCCCGCAAATTAATAAGGCTGTCAGAATACACATGAAAAATAGCCACCGCCTACCTGGCAAGTCTGACGAAATACTGGATATCGGTGGGTGATGGAATGGTACTGGGTAGTCTGTTAATGAAGGAGGAATAGCAGCAGCATCGACCGTTGTCACGCTGGGCACTCTGACAGTAGATGGCTGATACATGAGAACCCTGTTTTAAACAGCACGGGAAATTACAAACAACCTGGCCGTTAGTTACAGAAGAGAAGTTAAGCACCGCTGTGCACTCTCATTCACAAGGTCACTATGTTACAACACAACTGTAGCGTGGCTACTCACTACACAGTATTCCACTCTAATTTCCTCTTTCATAACAGTCTTCGTAATAACATGACCGTATCTTGGCTCTCAACAGCAGCTGTGACGTAAGAGCAAGTTGGCATTAAAACAAAGTACAGTGCTGGAGTCACTTATAACAGTCTACCACTCAGAGACAGAAATGGACATCTGCATCTGTGGGGCACCCTGGGAGGGATGCGCAGGTAGCCAGAGCCAGGAGGAGAGCACTCGTTTCAGTTTCTCCACATAACTGTTCCTCGGTGCTAACCTGTCAGGCCAAGGGCGCGACTGACCATTATTCAGCCCCTGGAACACAGATTACACACGTGGGAGTTAAATATCAAGCCCACCTTTCCTCACAGCCTGAGCCCAAGCCGAGTTCAGCTCTCCAGGAGCATGCAGCCAGTTAAAAGCCTTCTGCATCCCCACCTTCTGCCCGATTACTTTGTGGCACGGTTAAAGATGACACCGCAGGCATTCAGGCACCAGCCACGTGCATAAAACATTTCATAAACTCCAAGGCAGGTGAAAACACCGAGAGTCCTGCATCCCAGCTGCTCTGCATCCCTCCCTCCAGCCCACCAGCCATGAGTGTTACCCACTCACGTCTTCCTCCCCCGACTGCTGCATTGATGCATTTATGTTACTTCTGATTTTGGAAGCTTGGATTTCAGAGCCTCCCTTCTCAAGCACCTCTTACACTTCAGCCTGTGTTCCTTCTGCTTACGGGAAGGCACCCCACAGTTTTGCCAAAACTAGCATTCAGGCAACGTTGTTTACGGGAGATAAGCTGTTCCCCAAAAGCCTAGCTTTGACTTGGATTTGAAGAATGAAAACATGCCACTTCCATACCCAAACAGTAAGGAAAAGACATTGGTCACAGACAGACAAGAAAACTCAGTCCTTCTACAATTATGGTTGCAGGTAGCCATCCCAGACACAGGAGCACGGAAGGAAGTCTTGCTGCCTTCTGAAACTTCATTAAGAGGTGTATTGGTAGCTATTTTTTCTTATAAAAATAAGGAACAGAATCTCTTGCAGAAGAACTCCTCCACAATCCTCACAAAAAGCAACAGCATTTCAGTATCACTGCTGAAAGTTGTTGAACATGACCAACTATTTGCTCACCAAAGACCACACGTTCCTGTGGACTAGAGACACAGTACACCTGCTCGTTACTTCAAGAGCTGGCAAAACAGAAGGGGTTTGGTTTTATTACTATTATTTCAGTACAGGACATCAGCCACTACGCTGAGGGACACAGACGCACACCTCATGCATGCACCAACACTGGCTAATAAGCCATTACTAAAAGCTGATGCTCGGAATAGTCTTGTGGAGCAGTGACTGCCGGTGAGCCTAACCAGTGCCCCTCTCTCCCTGCAGGTCTCCAGCACCCTACGGGCCAAGAGCAAGAACTTTATGGAAGCCACAAACAGTAACTGTGGCCGAGTTGCACAGATTGGGGCAGACAGAAGGCGGCACAACAGTAAAGAAGCTGGTTAAGCCTGCCGCCGAAGTCAGGCACGACCACAAAGATGGAGCAGTTGACAGAGGACTTGGGAAGTCGTCGGTTGTGCTAACCAAGGTGCAGGACTGACTGATAACCATGGCCAACAGCAGTGTCCGAGACATTCCAGAGTTTAACAGAGATGGAGGAAAAGCTTGTCTCGATTCACAACAGCAAAGCGCCTCCCTTCCAAGACTGACAGGATGGATGAAACAGGTGACACAGCCTGGTTCCCTGGGCACCAGGGCAGATTGGATAAAGGGTATAACAGGCAGCGAGAGAAAAGCCTTTAAGATGACACTAGCTTAGCAAGAACACAAAGCTCCTCCACTTGGCATAACCTGCTTTCTCAGGAGAATCCTGTCCATTAGCTTAATCAGCTTCCTTTTCTATGGAGAAATATCCCTGCAAACACAGCAACAGTCAGCGCAAGTCTTTTGTGAGATGTAAAACTATTTAATAGTGTTTTGCCTGTACAAAGGTACTGTATCAATACAACCTTCTGCAAGGAGAGGCCTAGAAATTCTCCTCTGGAAGTGTGGAGCTGGATCCCGAAGAGAGATTACAAATCCATTTGTCTACACGTCAGTTTATCTGAGACATTACAGAATAACAACTAACTTTAAAATTGACAAACCCTTTGGTTGGGCTTCCTTGCGTTTCAGACATAAATATGCACTTCCTTTTGGCAGGAGGATCTTCCTCTTCATCGGAAGAGCTTTCTATTGTCAAGTCAATAACGTCAACTTTCTTCTTGTTTACCTCATTGGCCACCGTCACAGCGCACGGTTTGCTAACAACACTGGAACCTAAACAAGAAAATAAGACGTCACTGGTTTTTAAAGGCTGTTGACATCAGCAGTTTCTATTTGCAACAGAACCAGGAACTCAAATCCTGTTTTACCTCATCTTCCCGGCCACTACAGAGAACGTTATGGCCCAGGAACTGTTTTATTAGTATTCTGTATCACGCTCAGAATATTAAAGCACAAGCTTTAATCTTCACTTTTCAGTTTAAGGACCTAAAAAAGAGCAACCTTTCGTTTTCTTAACTGCTATTATAAAGAGCAAAGACAAAGCCCCAAAACGCACACTTTTAGAGGTATAACCCTTTCTCTTTAGTTTAAGTGACAAGAAGGTTAGAAGTATTAAGCCCCCCACAAAACAAACATCAGCATCCACACACATTGTCCAAGCTACAACCAAGTCTCCAAGACTTTCTGTCGGTTTGCAGCCAGTACCCGGACGGACGTACTTTCTATTTTGGTGCACTGTGGACTTGAGACTTTCACAGCTTCTTTCTTTGGCCTCATGGGGCACCAGGAGCCATCTTCTTGGAACTTGATCTCATCCACATCTGAACATTCGTTAAGGATTTCCATAAAGAGCCTGAAAAATAAAGTCGAGTAGTTTCATTTTTGATTCCAAGTAACATTTTTTTCTCCTGAGTGAAAAGGAGACACAGTTGAAAAGCTAATTATGATCACCTTTGACCCACTGCGTGTACTCTCCCCTAGTTCATCTTACCTGGGAGCCTGTAGTTACAGCCTTCGCAGACATCAAAACCCGAAAGAGTATCCCAACCTACCCATATTCCACTCCAACATTACTGCAATTCATAGATTTCTGTACAGGATGGGAAACCATCGGCCTTTGAATCAAGTTTGACGCTTGTTTGTGAGTTAAAGTTAAATTTTAAAGTTAATAGCTTCAGAGATGGGGTCACGTAAAAGGGAGACCTGTCCTTAGAGGTCACATTTGGATTTCTCCAGAGGAAATAATACTGAGGCTCGGGAGTTTGATGATGCAGTTAGGAGATAAACTTACGTAGTTCCTAACACGGGAATAGAAACTAACGGAGTCTAATGGTTCCTCCCAGTTCTAAAGTATTTTGAGAAAGAAAATAGCTACTTTTGTGACTCGAGGTTTAGCCATTTCATGCTATCAAGTACATCATGAAAAATTTTAAGTAATTGTGTAATCTGCAAACCCAGTCTCTTACCCATCTAATATTAGGCTCTCATAAGCTGCCTTTTTGTCACAGACAGGGCAGATCCAGGTAGGCTTCTTTTCATTCATTTGAAGATAAAGAGCAGCATCAAAACATTGCAGGTGTGTGCAAGTAACAGCCCGGCATGGGATTGTCAGTCTCATTTTTCCCAGCTGCAGGAGATGCATTTAAAGACCGTCAGAACAGAAGACAGTGAAGTAGGCCTGGATGGCTAACAATGAAATCAGAGGCAGTCGGTGAAGTAACTGTCTCTTCTCACTACAGAGGTGCCCAGTACTAAGGTCGCTGCAGGCAAACCCACCCTATCAAAGCACGTACAGCGCGCTTAAAGCGACAATAAAGCCATCCTCAAAGTCTTCACCAAGTTGAAGACAGTCAGAAACATTTCCAATGGACCTGCATCAATGTTATTCCTAGGATTCTGTTTTTATTAAGAGACCTACTGAAGCACCTCCTCTATCATTTTCTTTTAGCCACATACTTCAAGCGTTTTTGAGAGCTCCAGTTAGGTTAGACTCGGAATGGCATTACACCCATTTTAACATTGGCCCGAACAGACCAGTCACCAACACAAGGCCAGTTTCTACCTGGGAAGAGAAACCCCAAGGCAGCGTTACCTTGTTACACGGTGATCGATTTCTTTGTTATAGTAGCTGGCAGTATAAGCAATACCACCGAGATAAGGAGATCTGAAGTTTTATTTATCACTGTGCCCCTTAATTATTCTGTCACCCCGCCCAGTTAGTCTCAACACCTCAATATACAACAAGACGATTCCTTCTAAAGGCCTCACTACACACACGCGAGTAGCAACTTGATTCTGACTGCATTACAGCCGAAGCATTCACAGTTCTAAATCATAGTTGGTTGAATGCTGCTACAATCAGGTGGTTGTAGATGCGCCCTTCTCCCCGCTGTTTTATATTAACGAATCAGTATAAACCAAAAGCCAGTTAAGTTTTTAAAGCGGGGCCTTCTAAAAGCAGCCCAGCTCTGCACTGAAGATGACTAGACAAATCTGCATACGGTAATTTCCAGCTGTACTTACAGGACACATCAGAGATACCCGCAGACTGGTCGTGGCAATCTCACTATCGGGATCTGCAGTTAGTTTTTCTTTAACTATTAAAATAAATTCAGAAGTTATACACAGGCATCATTATTTAAAATGCTAATCTTGATTCGCCAGGACATGTACTTTATTTCCAGCTGTCTAAAAAAAATTAAGCGTCTCGCAAACTAGTTCATAGCAATATCAAACAACAATAGTTTCACTATTTATAAGCAACTGGCAAACACTGTGCATCACAAGATTGTGAGATAGATAGATAGATAGATAGATAGATAGATAGATAGATAGATAGATAGATAATCTCCCCTATACCCCCTACCGGCTCAGGGAGCTTCACTGAAAAAGTGCACGATGCCTCAGCGACAGCAAAGGGAAGCTTTCATACTCTGGGCATGGACTTTCTTTTCCAAGTGCTGCAAATCCCCTGAGTATCACCAGTTCTAGTTTTAAAGAACCACCGACCACCCTCAGAAAGTACAGACAGGTAAATTAATTTGACTTACTTAGTGCTCTGGAATGATCGGGGTTCCTGATACCTTTCATTTTTAACCTCTGCAAAAGCATAGCTGAAGTGAGCTGACGAACGAGATACACAGACATGGAGTAATTCTACAAAAAGAGTGATTAAAGATTAAATATGGCTTTCATACAGTACTTCCACTATGACAACAGATTGCTATTTACACTAGTTGTAGCACACAGTAAAAACAAAAACGCGCCGATTTTTTGCTTAATAGTTAGAAAAAGCATTGACAGACAACTTCGTTACTGTGAAAGAGTCCAATACTCTGCCAGAATTCTCCTGCCAACCGAGTCCAATTGTCCTACTCCAGTTGTGACTTAAGTAAGAACAACCACCCCGCAACCAAGAGACAATCTGGGCTCTTTTCTTGGAAGGATGATTTAGAGTGCTGACACACCTTCTCACACATGCAGTCTTTCAGAGCTTCTCACGTTTGTCTCCTAAACCCTTCCCTTTTTTCAGGGTCAATCTGTTAGCGGGGAGCTCAAAGACAATCCCATGACAAAAGAAAAGATGAATGCTTTTTCGGGTGCAAACACAACCCCTTCAAACGGCACCCAGCAGCACCAATTCCTTTGTACCTTTTCTTCAGCTTGCTCCGCTTTGAAGCCAAGCCTCATTACACCATATCCACTCCCCTGAGGCTGGCCACGTTCCCTAGCATTTACTACTCCTCCCTAACTCACACCGCCTGCCAGCTGCCTTCATTCAGCGTTCACTCTCTCCTCAAGGTCACTAATGAGAAGAAAATTCTGCAAGCCCCACTACTGCAGAATAACAATGGTTTCATCTGTATAACAAACACAACCTGCGATCTCTTATTTCCACTCCCTGCCAGCCACCTTCTTACGGCTCCTATACTGTCTGGGTACTGCACAAGAAGTTTAAACAAGAGCACCTACTGCCCTGCTCCTCCTTTACCACCTATAGGAAAACCAGCTCTTACCTAGATGAGCAGATAAAGTTATCTAAATGCATGGGAAACCACTACGAAAAATGGAATTACTTTTTTTTTCCCCCCCCTTAAAGAACGACCATACATTGCACTCTTTATTGCCTACCGCAAGAATTCTACGGGCTCAAGTCTGACCACCTCTGTGGGATTAATGCCTCCTTTGCTCAGAAGTCCTCCACTATCAGTCAAGTACATGCCAATAAGGCCTTGCCATGTGAGCCCGCCGACACTCCAGACGGTGCCCAAGGGTCTCATTTAGAGGATGAATAGCAGCGGCTGCTACGCGAGTTCTGATACTTAGAGCAGAGCAGCAGCATTAAACCAGAGAACCCGCTTTACCTCTCAGGGCAAGGGGGAATGCTGGGACAACCTCCAATTCGTCTGCTTCCATGAGAATATGTTTTGGCAGGCACGGGGGAGGAAGAAAGCAGGGGTCGGTGGGAGAGACCAAGACCACACGCAACACCGCAGTCATCTCAAGATTCCTGCGCTTTATCATTGGGAAGCAACGGCTTAGATCTTTCCCTCCACCTCTGTTTTAGAAGTAAAAAAAAACCCACACAACTTTGCTGTCAGCACTGCCCTTCATTTATTTTCTGAACATTAGCTTTCTCTCCAATTTCTTTTTTTTTTTTAATTTTAATTAGTGTATAAAAGCTTATACTGGAGTCTCACTTTGAAACATGTGGTGTCTCTGGTCCACAGATTTTGAAGAAAAAAAAGAGGTAAGCTACTTTGATAGTTGAATCCAGAAGGATTTACACAACTAGTCACAGACAGAGGAATAAGTAGGTTCTTGATTTACTAATAGCCAAAAGAGCTGCTGCAACAGCTATTTAAACCTAGGAAGAGTTCAGAAATTCCTCACGCTCTCCCTTTCTTTCCTTAGTAAATCCATAGGGGGATTTCTAAACGGCCACGCAGCCATTTTAAAAGCTAATTCCTTTTCAACTATGATCAATGACCGCAGACACTAGAAAGCAACAGGTATCACATTTCAGTCACCACCCCCTTTATCTCCTGCCACCTGAAGTCTAGCATGCTTTTCCCCCACTGCAGCTTTCCATGAAGTTTAGAATTGCATTACGAAGAGGCTTCAATTCCACACACACACACACCCCGCTCTCCATCCTTCCCCACACTGAGTCACTTCTCCCTCAAGTCACACAAACTTCCAGAATACTCTTCATTTGTAAGAACACACACACTGCTCAGGATATCCTGCATTACGAACACACACACACCACACAAGTATGGTCCAACCAAGCACGTTTGAGATCCATCAAGCCCAGAAACAGACTTGGGGGTACTAGTTGATGAAAAGCTGGACATGAGCCGGCCACGTGCGCTCGCAGCCCAGAAGGCCAATTGTATCCTGGGCTGCATCCAAAGCAGCGTGGCCAGCAGGTTGAGGGAGGGGATTCTGCCCCTCTGCTCTGATGAGACCCCACCTGGAGTACTGCGTCCAGCTCTGGAGCCCTCGGCATAAGAAAGACACGGACCTGTTGGAGCAGGTCCAGAAGAGGGTCACGAAAATGGTCAGGGGGATGGAACACCTCTGCTCTGAGGACAGGCTGAGAGAGTTGGAGTTGTTCAGCCTGGAGAAGAGAAGGCTCTGGGGAGACCTTATTGCGGCCTTTCAGTACTTAAAGGGGGCTTATAAAAAAGATGGGGACAGACTTTTTAGCAGGGCCTGTAGCGACAGGCAATTTTTATTTTGTAGGAAGAACTGGTTAATGGATATTTCCATCTCCATTGTTTTGAGATTCCTTTTTTACATTGAAATGGCCTCTCTGTGAGTCGATTTAAAATTGTACTTGCAAATAAACCAAAACAGGGGCGGGATTTCCAGCTCAGAAAGCTCTTAGATGGCAGGTTGCTGGGAAGGGTTTACTGGGGAGGTGTCATTCTGTGATTCTATGACACCAGCAGCCTGACACCTCCCCAGTAAACCCTTCCCAGCAACCTGCCATCTAAGAGCTTTCTGAGCTGGAAATCCCGCCCCTGTTTTGGTTTATTTGCAAGTACAATTTTAAATCAACTCACAGAGAGGCCATTTCAATGTAAAAAAGGAATCTCAAAACAATGGAGATGGAAATATCCATTAACCAGTTCTTCCTACAAAATAAAAATTGCTTTTGCAAAACTACTTAGTATTACTTGGTTAGAAAATACAAAAACCTCGAAAACAAAGGCATGTATCCACCCCCATGGCCTTGGCACATCTGGTCAGTTTAAAAAGCCTTCTCCAAGGGACAGTTACAACAGATAATGGGAAGTGTTATTTTGTCGTGTCTGAACTGGTTTGTACTATTTACACGACAAAAAGATTTTGGCATTTTTGACACGCGTTTCAGGCAACCCCTAACAGCAGGCTTTCTGATGTGAATTGTGTAAGGAAGTCTTTGCCACCTGTATGCACGTTTTACGTACGTTACTGTAGACTACCATACTTCTAGAGCAAACTTCGTTTCCTGGCAGTGATAATAAGTTCAGCCGCTTAATACTAAACACAGAAGGAATGCTAGATGAGGTTATTTAGACAACTTCCCACATCCTACAGAACGTACAGTTTACCTTTCCAATTTCAGAAGCCCAGGAAATGGAGATCTGGTTTGGCACTGCTGATGACAGCCTAACTAGAGATGTTATATTCAAGGGGCGCCCAGGTCGCTTCTGTTCAATTCCATTTTTTGGCGGTGGAGCATATCCCTGTGGGAAGAAAAGGACAAGGAAAGTGTTACCAAGTCTCCCCGCTGTACTCCGAAACAGACTTGTTAGGTTTAAACAGATCTATGGGAAGCAGGTAAACCTAGACGCTCTCTAGGCTGGAGACTAAATTCAACACTTACTCTGAGAAATATCAGTCTTTGACAGTCTAATACCATAAGTCAACCACAATTTTAAAGCACTTTTTAAGTGGTTTTACAGAAGTGCTGAAGAGGGGGAAGAGAACGCAGTTTTGGTCCAGGTAAGTTCACTGGAAGAGTAAAAAGTCATGTTGATGCTTTGTGCTTTTTTCCCCCCCCACCCCACTGAAAGAGAGCGGAACATCGCAAGGATACAGCCTTAGTGACAAACACAGCAAGCCACGAAGAGTTAATTCAGTGTTTCACACCCGGAACACACTTCATTGATTCTATTTAAGAAACAATAAAGTCTTGTTCCAAGAGCTCCACATCTCCTTGGCGTCTGCTTTGCCCCGTATCAACTACACCTAGCCCCATTAGCAACGGGCTGTTATCTGTACTCTGCCAAGGCCCCTGAAGAAGAGCTGCGCGTGGAATATCAGCTGTATTTAAGAGCTAATCGGCTTTGCTGTTGTCTGCAGAAACAAAATAAACTAGGTATTGTTTGCTCAGCTTTGAAAAATTTCGTAACCTAGACTGCTTTTCTCTGTAGTTTTATTTCCTATATGATGTTCGCGCATTGAATCAGGAGCCATCCTGTTCCCTTTTGCTTCTAGGCAAGCACATACTCTCCAGCATACCGTGAGCAGAAAGTACTCATGCCACGTGAAGGAGCACACGGCCTAACTGCAGCTTATTCATCTCATCCTGCGTCTGTCGCTACGAAAGCAAGCCAGTCTGTAACAGGAACGCTGAGAATCTCCGTTTTGAGCTCACACAGGCTGCCTGCAGTCCACTCGTCTCAAAAACTCATCCTGCACCAGAAGGATGCCAATAAGAGATTGCAGCCCTGCGTCTTGCACAGAACTGACTGCCAGATTTCACTTAGTTCAAGACAGTGTTGTTCTATACAAGAAACTCTCCCAGAAAGGATATGCTGGAAAACACACACGCGTATTTTTTTTACCCAGAGAAACACACATTCACAGCCTAGTACTTGGCTGGAAAAAACACACGTATTTTTTTACCCAGAGAAACACACATTCACAGCCTAGTACTTGGAAAAAGAGTTACTTTGAAAGTCGCTGAGTCTGAAAACAAAAAAACAGAAATAAACAGCCTCTTCCACTAGCCAAGAATACCATAGGATAATCACTGCCTTTAATCCAAGGAGGACTCGATAGTTGTCACATCATTTCCTAGGTTTCCAAAGCAGCTCCGTTACTAGTCCATACGTTTCGCCTGACAACCAAGCCCTGGCTGTGCCTCGCCACTGCCCTTTATTAATTTCAGACAGGACTCTCGCTCGCAGTGGCAGAATAGGGACTCGGAGCATCTCCAGGCAGGTCTGCCAGGCCAGAGCAGCAGACGGCAATTGCTGAAGAACTCTCTCTAAAATGGTTCTCACCCCAGGTGGAGAGTGACCCAGTAGCTATAAGGAACCTTACCACGCGTGCTTTATCGCAGAACATGGAGGCAGCAAATGTATGGGGACTGCTGACAGTTTCCCATTTAAAAGAATGAACGATTTGCCATTTCTTTAATCAGACCTAACAGCTGCAGCCATTTACAGAGTATACATCCCAGTTGCTTTGCTGTAGTACGCCTTTCTCTACCGTGGTGACTTTGTAGTGAGCTTGTGTGGACAAACACACCATCCCTGCAATATTTAGGAGGGTATTTCCACACATACTGTACCAGCCACAATAATCCAGCTGGTCTCCAACCTAAAATGAAGCTGCCTTGCTTTCAAGAGAGCAAGGATGCAAGCTCTCTTATATTTCTCAATTTTTTTTTCTCTTTCAGAGACAGACTCTGCAGCTCACGTGCTTCGTTTCAGTCAAGCTTTTGATGTTTTCTTCCACAGAGCAATGACCTCGAGCTCAGATTTAATTCTGTGCTCCTAGAACACTTTAAAACCTTCCCTTCCTAGCCTTCCAGGACTTCAGTAAAGAGCACTCTGCTTGCCTATCACAACCAGCACGGTCTAGCACTGTTTAGTTAGGCTGCCAATTCTAGTGGCTAGCAAGTGCCAACGTTATTTGGGTCTGTCTCCCACGCTTCTTGCAAGAACCGTATTAGTCAAAGCAGGTGGAATCTGCTATAGCCAGAAAAATCTATCAACAGAAAGTACGATTGCTCTTCGATCTGGCTATTTCCAACCTGCCCTGACATATTGGATTTTGTCCTTTGAAAGAGACCTGCAGTGGTCTATGGAGGTTCCCTGAGAAGAAAAGCAAATTACCTTTTTGGACTTCCGCGTTTTGCCTTGCCTACAAGAGAAGTCAACAGGAGAACCACCTGCTGCAGTGCTTTATGTATAAAATCCTTGTTACGTGCCAAGACACCAGCATGCAAGGCTCTACTCCTTTTAAGTCAGAACCAACACTGTAAGAGGAAGGCACAGATAGTTGTAGGAATACAAGAAAACATCGTGTTAACATGAGTTGGCACAACCTGAAGCAGTACTGGCACCCTGGCAGCATTTCTCTGAAGTTTCTGGTAAGGACGGCAGACAAGGACCAGGAATAGTTTACAGACATCTGCGGAGGCATGAACTGCTACACCAGGGAATGACAGAACAGTACTCACTTAAGAATTGTACAAGTTGGCAACAGAGGCTGCTATCACTGATTAATTACCTAACACCAACACTACTGAGTTAGACAATAGCGGTCTTTGAGGCAAAGAAGTTACCTTACATTTCCTGCAACAGAAAGGAACCGCCAGAGGGATGCAGACAGCGACCAAATCAACAAGAAAATGTTTGCAGGAGCACTCGGACTGAGACTATATTTGTCATTCAGCTCATACTAAAGGAGGAGAGGAAAGGAAGTTGCCGAGACAGTAGTCATTTATTCACTTTCTCACCTAAAGTTTCTGCTGAACAGATTAAAGAGTCATCTTATGACGTGCAGGAAGAACCTGCAGGGTTTAGATCTAAAGCAAAGCAAGAATCCAAGATTACAAACAATTTTTGCTACGACTGTGACGTATGTTACACACAAAATGGATAGCGTAACACAGCATAGCGGGGCGTAAGCTATATTAGCAAGACTGAGAACCAGCAGACATTGATGTCCACAGGATAACATGAGACCCAATTCTTTTGGTGGGTTGCTTAAAGAAAGGAAGACAATCTGCAGAAGAAAGGAGAAAATCCTGCAAGATTATCACAGAGAACATAACTGGCATTTGCAGAAAATACTGACCAGAAAACATATGAAAGAAATTCTCTTACACACTGAAGACAGATAGAAGAACAGTGATGCAATGGTTAAAGAAGTAGGGGGAAGACAAGCTACAGAGTCTCATTTAAGCTGAGTAGAGGCCAAAAAAGCAGTCACGGTTGCGTATGGCAGGAGGGAGGGTACAGGACAACACATCTGACACAGCAAGAAGGTGACAAACATTCTGAAAAAGAGGTTTCGGACTTCCTCTCTCCACACAGCATTTTTCCAAACCTACTGCTAAAAAAAAAAAAACAAACCACCCTCTGTACTACTACTATTTCCATCTTCTATAGCTTCCAGAACTATTCAGAATGGGTTGCGTAAGGGTTTCTCTCTGTTCTACTGTACAGAGATACCCATTGCAGAGATTTTTCAGTGCTTTTCCCTTTTTGTGTATATTCAAGCCTTGAGGTGACCCTGCCTACGTGCTAACATTTGCAACATCAGACACCAGTAAAGTGTACGACTGCCAACGCTGTTCTGTTCCAGTATCACCAAATGCTAGGAACCCTAAAACCTGTCTGTTCTTCATCCCCGCAATGAATTCTGCTCTAACCAGACAGATGCAGAGCAGCGTACAAACTTGTAAGTTCCCTCGTAACAAGAAGGAACTCAAGCCAATCACAAATAGAGATAGCCCAAACAAGCGAGGGCTACTACCAATCAAGGCAAATAAACTCAGTTTGAAGACCTGTGAGGAGGATTCCCCATGCAGACGCTGGTTTGGTTTGCTGTTGGTGGCTAAAACACAATTAATCCATGCAGTGGCTGTAACACGATTAACAGTAGTAACGGCTCTCTCACACAGCAAATGTACAAACCATATGCCTAACATTAGTTACTAAAGAAATTTGAGTGGTAACAATAAACAGCTTGATTGTTTTAGCAAGCTAACATTACAGAAAAAACACACACACCACAAAGTCACAAAGAAGCCACAAATGCGTACAAACAAGCTTACCGGCAACGGAAACAGCTTCCCATTTACTTTAATACACAAACTATTAGGGTAATTATCTTCTTGAGGGCAGCTTGTCTCTGCTAGGCATAACCTATATCCCCAAAAAGAGAAAGCGTCATTTTCAAGTGTCACCACATTCATACGTCCCCACAAACATCTAGACTTACGTTACATTAGCCAGTTAAGAAGTCATAAGAGAACACTATGAAAAAGGTACCTTAGCTGAACTTGGACTGTGTAATCTCTCCTGCCCCCTGGCAAGAAGTCCCTGTGACAACGAAAAAGAAAGAGAAGTACCCATTTAGACGGCAGGTCTCATATTCCAGTCATATGCACAAAGAACTGGCACGCCTGCCGCAACAGCACTAAACCTTGCTCTTATTTTTCTTTTATTGAGCTGTGAACGAGTCTTACAAGCGACACCCCTGCTTAGCTACTGCAAGTTAAGCAGGACTTTAGGATCAGCATCCTCTGTCAAGAGTTTATAGTAACAATAAAGTATGAAGTTGCCAGAGAGGAAAAAAACCCATGAATTCTCTTGGCTTACACCATAGGTCTTACAACAACGTGACCCCTGGGGCAGAAGATAAAAGCAGCCTCCATTCCTGCAGCCAGGAAACAGGCAGGGAAGAAAAGCTTACCGCCTCTCTAAATAGTCACAATTATTTGGAACTGAGTAATTGTTAACTCTTTAGTGGCACAGGATTTACCCCAACTGCACATGAATTCTGTGCACAGATAAACTCAGCATAACTTTGGTGAGGATTATCACTCTGCATCTGCAAGCTTATGCGATGCATAAAATGAACCAAAAACCCCATACTTTCTCCTGAAATTTTGCCAAAGTTTACCTACGCTATGCCACGCTCTTACTTCTTACCTGGAAATACAGATTTCTCTGACCTGCTGAGGTGTTAAAGCAAAGATAAAAAACTTCTCTTGGAACTTCTGAATACTGCTCTGTACTAGAAAAAGAGAGACACAAAAGAGGTTTAACCATGGTGATTAAAGTCATTGATTAAAACAGGATCTGCAATTGAGTTTTTCCTGGAACGAGGCATAAGTCACTTCATATAATCAAACTGTGGTTGAACTACATGGAACTGTCAACAGGAAAGCAATGGAACAAATCATTCATTCAACTATATTCAGATGGCTTAATATCACATTACACTTCAGTACGAAAGAAGCTTGGCAAGCTGCGTTACAGTCCTTTCTCCCAAGGGAGAAAGGTTCAAACAAACACACAACAAAATATAACACTGGATACCTGACGAAGAGAGTACCACGGAGAAGATGTTTACAGCTATTTGAATGCGCTACAAGAAGAGAACACGCACCAGAAGTTATTAATGGACAGCTGGAAAATTACTCAATTCAGAAACAGCTAAAGGTAATTAAGCCTTTGGGGAGGAAGGGAGGGAGCACAACCCCTAACACCAGAGAAGCCAGCTAGACTGCATGTCTGGGAACTGCCCAGCAGTAGCATTTGGGGGGGGGGGGGGGGGAGAAAATGCTACAATTAGTGTGGATGGATTAAAAATATATGCCAGAACGCCCCTCGGGACCGCCCCGCAGAATAATTTTGGGGGGGGGGGGACGACACACAAAACAAAACACACAACATATCAGAAACCTACTTGTCTGTCAGTGATGGGAAGCAGTAATATTTTAGTATTAAGGGTTCCTAGTATGCACAAAACACACAACTTTCATATCAGAAACCTACTTGTCTGTCAGTGATGGGAAGCAGTAATATTTTAGTATTAAGGGTTCCTAGTATGCACATGTTATTTTTCTACTTTCTTTCGACTTGAGAAGTTAGAAATCTTGACCTGAAAATAAACGTAGATTGGACTTGTCCAACAGTTTAAAGTAACCAGCAAGGAGGACAAATGCAAAAATAGCACAACTAAACCAGGCAAATTTGGAAGAGCTAGACTGTCTTGTACACTGTGACATTCAGAGAAGATGATCTCTATGCCCAGAAAACACACACAAGAAGGACACAAGCACAAAATAAAACCCAGGTAGAGCAAACACACACACCAAGTTCCTCAAACAATTCAAAACAGCTACATTGTGCACATACACGCACACACACACCCCCCATAGACAACATTTTACATTTTAAAATAATACTTGAGCACATGTAAAAGAGATCATGGAAATATTTTGTTATTGAATTGAGCGTGGGTTAAAACTAAACCCCACACCTACACCTGCTCTTGCGTTCTCATATTAGTGCAAAAGAATACCTACGCTCACCCCTTTTAAAGAGTCGCAGTGAAGCAGACTATACTTTTAGCTCTCTGACCTATTTGGTTTCCGAATCCTTAATTCTCAAACACAAAAAACTTTCTTTGTTCCATGTCCCAGTGACCCGAGTCTACTAACTGGGACTATAAGCTATCCATATCAATCTAAAAATATTAGATAAAGCCTCATTTCCAAATTTGCTTGTGAATCCATGTTAAGAGTGATTTTCAGCCAACGTTTGTATCCTTCTAACATCAGAAAGGCCCATTATTTCCCCATCAAGCCATTCCTCACATCTCATTTCCCTACTCCTCCTCACACAGATCTGAGTTGTAGCTCTGGCTGCTGCCACCTTCAGGTACTGTGCTCTGGAAAGAGTTTGAAGGCAAGCAAGTACTCAGTTAAATTAATCTTCTCCCCCTCACCCATGTCCTAAGAGAACCCAAATGTTACAGGACTAGATAATCCTCACTCCTATACAAGCAAGTACTCAGTTAAATTAATCTCCCCCTCACCCACGTCCTAAGAGAACCCAAACGTTACAGGACTAGATAATCCTCACTCCTATGAAAACTGGGCAACATGCAACAAAGAGCCTACAGTCTTCAAAGGAAAGAGGAATTTACGTGCAGCTCTAGCTATAACATGGTGACACCCCTAAGGAAGCATCTTCCTTTCAGAAAAAAAGATCAATTTCCAGCTGTTGGGGAAATTTCTAGCATATCACCTCTAGATATCACTGACCAGGAAACAAAAGGTAACTGCACAGCAGAAATATAATGCAGAGCACACACTGCATTATATGGGACAGGGTGACGATGTGGCTGGCAACCTAGTCTGGTTAACTATGAGCCAACAGTTGTCCCATAATACAGAATAATTCAGGAAGCTAGTTAAGATGCTCAGCTACTGCACACAGTGAACATGAGCAGGAGTTAGCCAGGACATCGTGGCACTGACAGATTATCTCTGTAAAGGTAATGGCAGCATGAGCCATAGAGCTGTCCAACACCACAGCAGCTATTGTCCTAATACACGGGTTTGATATTAAACTCTTCTCTAACAGGGTGTCACTACACACAAATGGAAGGGACCACAGGCATTGTAAATAAAGCTCGTTAGTAATGTTTGCTGCTTTAGGTGCTGGAGGATGACCAACGATCAGTATGTGCCTCACTGAGGCATAAGTCACAGCCTAGAAAGGCTCTATTATCAGTTAAGAAATTAATAATATTGTTTAGAAACACTTCAGCATTTTTCAAGCTGTTTGCATCCTCTTAAATATTTTAAATAGTTAGGGAACATTTTCTACCATGTAAATTAAGACAGGTTGAATTTCAAGACAGAAAACAACATATTTCCAAATAATTAAATATGTTTAAGAGGGAGGCATTTGAGGAAGCTAAGCTGAGACTTCAGGTTATTTGGAAGACAAAGGTCCACTCTACATTTTAACATAGCGTATGGCAACAACCGGTAGGCTGAGAAACCTTCACTAAACTGAGTACAACACTGAACATTCTTTGCACAAAGTATCTATTTCAGTGCCAGATGCCAGAACCTGCAGAATTGTTGCAGTGAGATAAATGCAAACTAACAAACCAGTGAACTTGTTCTCCTTATTTTGTTGCAACTTATTAATTACTGACGCTGCAATCCTTTTCCTGTTGGCCCCGACAGAGGTGTTCCCCATTTGTACCAGACAGACTTCAGGTCCAAATCTTTCAGCCAAAAGTAACTCCACGGGAGGTTCAGACTAGATATTAAAAAACATTTCTTTACCAAGAGGGTGGTCAAACACTGGACCAGGCTTCCTAGAGAGGTGGTTGATGCCCCAAGCCTGTCAGTATTTAAGAGGCATTTGGACAATGCCCTTAACTATTATTCTTTAACTTTTGGTCAGCCCTGAAGTGGTCAGGCAGTTTGATGATCACTGTAGGTACCTTCCAACTGAACTATTCTACTCCACTATTTAATATTCAAAAAACAAAGATCTTTAATCATATAATATTTACAGAAGAGAACACTATTTTCTGAAGTATAGCTTGGCACTTTTGGGGACAGGTGGTGAAGAGAGAGCAAGAGTAGAAATAAGAACACCTCTCCTATGAGGACAGGCTGAGAGAGTTGGGGTTGTCCAGCCTGGAGAAGAGAAGGCTTTGGGGAGACCTTATTGCAGCCTTTCAGTACTTAAAGGGGGCTTAGAAGAAAGATGGGGACAGACTTTTTAGCAGGGCCTGTTGCGACAGGACAAGGGGGAATGGCTTTAAACTAAAAGAGGGGAGATTCAGACTAGATAGAAGGAAGAAATGTTTTACGCTGAGGGTGGTGAAGCACTGGCCCAGGTTGCCCAGAGAGGGGGTGGATGCCCCATCCCTGGAAACATTCCAGGTCAGGCTGGACGGGGCTTTAGCGACCTGATCTAGTTGAAGATGTCCCTGCTCATGGCAGGGGGATTGGACTAGATGGCCTTTAGAGGTCCCCTCCAACCCAAACCGTTCTGCGATAAGAAGGGAAGGGACTTTCTGCTTTTCCCCAGCTGCAAAAAGCAATTGAAGTCTGGACTTAGTACTGTCATGAGCAACACCTATTTCATTAATTAAACCTGCAGAGCCATTAAACACTTACCTAGACTTGTAGGTTTTATGAGCACATCAAGCACATCGTAAAAAGGCAGGCTTTTCAGCTGAACATCGGGATGAACGGGTGGAATCGGAGGGGATGGCTGCTGCATCTCAAAGTGGGGCTTAGTGTCTTGGAGGAGCACAGAACTGACAGGCGAGGAAGGAGACTGAGGCGTGACCGAAGTAGAAGGGAGCGGGTGAATGCCAGCAACAGCCAGGTCAGGCTCGACAGGAGAGGAACTACTGTCCAAATTGAAAACCGCAGGTTTTATAGCCGATAAGTCCGAAAGTCCTTCAATCGTCCTTGGGTACCGACGCCTATAGAGTTCTCGGATTTTTATCTGAACTGCTGGACTGCAGCCACTCTTCAGTAAGTGCAGTGCCCTCATCAGGAGGTCATGTTTCCGCCCGCTTTTATTACGTCCAGCAAACCCCAACAACACTTGCAGTTCAGAAACACGAAAACTTGATACCATATTCTAGAAAGAAAAGAGATGAGCACAGGTGAACCAACAGTGCCCCAAGCAGGCCTTTCTGAGGAGCATGGTGAAGCATCTGAACTTCCATCATTCCAGTTTTACACCTGTCAGCTTAGATACTACCCATACCCTTACCCAACGCAAGAGTATAGTCAGTTTAAAGCGAAGAAACAAAGTGTCCAGGGTGAAGGTTGAGTTTGGTTGTGTTTTTGATTTCAAAGACTTCTAATTGTTTTCACACTCAAAAATAGCAACAACAACAAAAAAATAATCTTAATGCAACCCATGCAGTGCGATCTTAAATTCAGACAGAAGCATAAGCTCTAATATAAAATCTGTCTCACTTCATGACAAAAAAAAAAATAATCAGACAAATCAGTATTATCACCTGTCTTCCAACACATTTTAAGAAATAAAATAAGCAACTGTTCTGCACAGTTTATTCTGAAACATCCTTTATTTTGTGCAGCATGTTAAATGCACACATAAACAGAGACAAGACAGGCACATCAGGTTTCACTCTTGAAAGGATGGCACAGCAAGGTGGACACTTTTTTAAAAAGCTACATTATATCATACTAACAAACTGTTTAACCAATGCCATTGATTCTTCCAGAATATCACAGAAAACTTCCTGTCCTTTTTGTATCACATTCTGGTATCGTGGGACACAAAAATCTCTTCAAAGGAAACAATACTATTTACTTGGTTATCAGAGTTAGTTGTGGAAGACTGAGGATTGAACTATGAAGTTCATAAACAGAAAGAATATCATTTAAAAAAAAAAAGAAATAAAAAAGCCCACTACGCAAGAGGAAGCAATCTTCTCCCCCCCATTACTACAAATGAGTAACTTAGCATAGGTGCATCATCTCACATTTTTGTGAGCAAGCTCTCTTTTCAGAGAGGTATAAAATTGTCCAGAATTCTTCTAAGTAACTTCCTTCCTATTTCTGTGGGACTCTTCCACCGTAACAAGGAGGTTAAGTTTTAAAGATGAAAGAACGTCTGACTTTAGTTTGTTCTGCTGCACCGTACCAGCTCCAGACTCAAGGACTGGGAGATGAAGGCCCTAACAGAAGGTATGAAGTAGTAGACATCTGGGATCATAAAAGATGTTTTTAAAAACAACAGTTCAATAGTGCATTGTTGACTTTTAAATAGTAGTCCAATATACAACATTTAAAGCTTTGGGCACTGATTTCAGAAGGGATACAACTCAAAACACAATGTTTTGGGTTTACCTTCCCTACTCCTTACTATACAGTTACAGAGTTTACACCCACGTATTCTAACATAGATCTGATCTCAACTAAAGTTTTAACACAACTATGCTACAACCACACGGTCAGCCACCAAAAAAAAACTGAACTCCCCCTGCGTCCCCAGCTGCTTGCTCCCTATTCTCTCCTTAATGTTGAGAAAATTGTTTTTACAGTAAGACAGATCAGGGAATTGAGCCAGAGGAAAACTGAACTTGTGCCATTACAAGACAGCAGGAGCAAGCAGCCAGGACCTGCCTTTTCAAGGGCCACATTATTCATGCATATCAAAACAACCGTCTAAAATACTATGGTAGTACTCTTATCAGGCACAGCCTTTCCTCATTATTGAGGGGACAAGGTTATCCTATTTCTGAATTTCAACATTTCCAGACGGTCAGTTTGGATACGGTGATGCTTCTATCAAGTAGCTGTCAGGGAGCTAACCCAGCAGTCTTCAAACTGGTATTCCCCCAACACCCCATCTATAAATGCACCACGGATGCAATCGCCAGTGAAAGCAGTGTCACGTGAGGCACTGAGTGGCTCACCCTAACTTCTGAAGAAGAGACCAACCGCAGATATCACCTTAATTTCATCCCAGCAACTTCTCTCAACAGCAAAACGATACAAGAAGAGAGGAGATGGAGACAGAACTCCATCCAGTTTGCAAGTTGCTGGAGAAGGTTAGTTTCCACCTGGCATTCCCCTGCTACTTTTCCTTAGTCTCACAGTCAAACAGGGTGAAGAAAAGAAAGCGTTTCCGTATTCATAAAAAATAGGAATTGAAGTACTGCAACAGCTTTATAGTCATGCCACATAAAAGAGAAATTGTGTTAAAAGGTAATACTGATAATAAAGAATTTACTGAGAACTTCATGTTGCATCCTTCCATAAATAGTTGTATAAGCTTGATAGCAACGTCAGCTCCTTTATTTCAGATGCAGGCAGTAAGCGCGATTCTGGATTCCATAATCAGAATGCAAATGAGTAAAATAATCCTTTACATTGAGATTAAGGAAACAGCATGTATTGCAAAATACTGTCTACTACCCTGCCTGCTGCCTTCTGTGCATTCCTGCAAGTTAATCAAGGTGAAATGTGCGGTCAATCACGCCTTGAAACAGCCAACATTTTATGCAGAAATTCCACAAACTAGCATTTTGTTACAAGATGGATTTCATTTTATTAGAAGACACAAGCTGGCTTCAATACCGTAAGTCAGAAAGATTTTAAATTGACACCTCCATTAAAAATGCTTGGGAGTATTAAAAAAAACCCACAACATAGTTTTGTCCATCAATGCAAAAATCTTACATATGCTTTTTGAAAGACGTCTTGCGAAAGTGAGTTTTACTGGAATTAAACAATGGCTTTTGCAACATTTTCCCCCTAAAGCTGATTCTACATTCCCTTTAGGGCAACCACCACCACGTGCATGAAAACGCAGCTAGTCTGATCTACACATTTTAGCTTATTACTCCATTTACAGACATATCAAACTGGACACTCATTATAATCAACAAGGTTTTATGGAGGCATAACATATGCTTAGGAGCATTTATAATCATGGTGCAAGACAGATACTACTTCCAACAAACCCCACCAAGTTATTTTCTTTTGGGGTTCCAACAGTATTGCAGAAGACTGCAGCCTAGCTATTAACATGCTTTTCACATCACTGAATTAAGATTAGACATTCAAGTTGTGTCATGTAAATGCCATCAATTTTCTCTTGAGAGAAGTTCTTTACAGCTGCAGAGCCCAATAAAAAACATTTTTAACGCAGAAGACCAGAGCCATTTTGGTTTTAATGTTTCTCTGTGAACACAAAGAGTAGTTTGACGGAACTTTAAGGAAGGAAATCAGACTGGATAATTCAAGTACTTTTATATTCCAGAAACATTTTTTTGCCTGAAATTCATACTTGAAGGTCATAAGAAGTTTCACAGGGTTTTTTTTTCTTATTGTTAAACTATAGCAACCATGATTCATAAGCAGAAATATTGTTCTAAAGCATTAAGCCGTAGGTGTATCTGGAATGGCATTCATTTCACAGGGATGATGATGTTAAGGAGTCCAGGAAATGCTGACATGCCGCTGAAATTAAGGGCGGGCGTGTTTCAGAGCAAAGTAAGGGATCAAACATATCTCAAACAAGAGGTACGTGATTCTCCACACTCCCCCTGCCAAAGCTACCTGCAATTCTAACAGTCATTGTACTTACATATATAAATGAAAGGTAACCAAGAATGCCTGTTAAATTCTTGACATGTGTCTACAATAAGCACCAACAACTGTAGCTTCTAGGGCAACTGCAACTGCTCAAGTAGTGAACCCTACACTTGAGCCTGCAGAAACCATCCAAGTCAACTCAAAAGTTCTAGTCAGTCTCCACCTAAGAGTTCTGCTTCAGCCCCACTGGCTTCCAGATGTTTTCTGAAGTGTCCGAAGCCTATATAGGGAAGGACCAACCCCACAAATCCTCACTCCTGACTTTAAGCCCTCTTCTGGACACTCATAGCAGAGAGGCACATTTGTGACATCTTTTGCAATAAATTTGCATACATACTGATTTACAGTGGGCTAGAAATGGGTAATACTGGTAAGAAAGAGCAACTTGTGTCTTGGGATGGTTGAAGACCTCTCTGCTGACCCTGAATACAAACATAAATGTATTCTGGAAACTCATGTAACTATAGATAAAAAACTGCAAGCCCTGGGAAAGAATGAAGATGTCACCAGTTAAATCTGTGGAAGTAGTACAGCACAGTAAGAGCAGCTCTGAAGAACACAACAGTTGGTGCAAACAGCATGACCATCAGGTCCTCAGTATTATGGGGATTTTTTCTTTGGACTAACTCTAGCCTGGCTCCTAAATTAGGCATTAGTCTTCAACGTTGCACACGCTTAATATAACAGTGAAAATCCTAAATCAAAGACTGGCGTTCATTTCACATAAGATGCTCAAAACAAAGCTTGACCCATCTCACTGCAGCCTCATTTTTTAAGTACCATAAACTATATTATCCCTTTCCTCTCCCCCATCACCGTATCTCAGCACAATCATTAGTTGTTAATTATTCTAGATACAACAAGCTTTGAAGGTACCACAATAAGCCTCACTGGTCTGAAAAAATTACTGTGCATCTAGGAAGGGGAATTACATACAGATACAAGATAACAGTATATTCTCATAGGTTATTAACAGTATTTTATGAGAGGTTATCTTATTTAATACACTCAATGTTAATTGCAACCTAGAGATCACTACATCACCAACAGAAACTTCTCAATATCTATTCTGTCCATCATTGTAACTTTATTCCAGATCACCATGCGGAATTTGATTTCTACATCAAACCCCCAAACTGATGGGCATATACAATACAATGTTATTAACACAGCTAAAATAAAACAGAGTACAACAGAGTGTTTGGCAATGAGCTTGAAGAGGACACGTGAAAATAGCTCTCTGTTTTCTTCTTGGCTAACAATTTAGCACTAAGCACTGCTTCACCTGGTAAACAGGCAAACACTGTCCATTCAGACTGGAAAAATAAAGCAAGAGGAGTAGAAAGACACCGAGGCTGGTATGAACGAGAGATCCAATACATACAAGTATGAGACTTCAATTTCTGTATTTTAATATGGTATCTGAACCATATTGCTCTTCGCATTTGAATCACATGACTTCAGTACTGGGTATGCAAGAGCAAAAATTAAAAGTGGGAC